CCACCGATGCGCTTGCGGCAATGTGACTTTGTCTTATTTCACATCCAAAGATCGCCATTGCAACACTATTGCCGAGAGCTAAATAGTCAAAAGTGATCCAAACAAAAGATGAAATGTACAGAGAAAAAAAAAAAAAAAAACAAGTCTTTGAAGTGCTCTATTCATTCATGGGCCATGGCAGTACGATAGACCAAAGGTTTAAAAGGTTTTTGTGGGTTAAAAACTCATCATCCTCAAGGTTGGCAATGTGAGTTCATCAAGTACTTGTACTGGGCCCTATACAATCCTCATAGGAGGCTTGTATGAATCTACGACCAGATATCTGACCAGCTCTCACCTATCCATGTTACCATGCAGGTCCATTAATGACTCCACCATGGGCAGCCCTGGAGGCTCTTGGCACTGCTATGCTGGCTTTATTGACTGTTCTGACATGCAGAGGTCTCAGGAGAGACACTGGGGAGAGCAGTAAGTCACACAGCTGCAGGGCCAATGTGACAGGCCTGACAGACATACTCTCCACGCAGAAAGAGAAACCATGCATTCAGTCTAGGAGATTGGCCCATGGTTGCATTCAGCCACCATGTCTCTTTAAATCTATGCAATATGTCTTGGGGAGACTGGCGGTGCCATCCAGCAAGCAACTTTATGGTAAATGTAATTTATTGCATTATGAATTTATAGGCTCATGTCAAACCTTTTCCTTCCCTCCCATCACTTCCTGTCAGCTAAAAGAAAAAAATAAGGTTTATTATCCCATACAATTCATTATATATATATATATATATATATATATACTGTATGTGATATATATATGTCACTGAGCATGTTTACATGCACATTCTTAATCACCGTTAGATCAAAAATGGCTTAAGAATAAATAAACTGACAAAGCAAGATTTTTGCCCATTACTCCAATGTAAACACCTTAAAGGGACAGCTCACTCAAAAATTAAAATTCTCTCATCATTTGCCCACCCTCAGTGAGTTTCTTTCTTCTGTTGAGCACAAAATAAGATATTTTGAAGAATGTGGGTAACCAAGCAGTTGGCGGTAGCCATTGATTTCCATTGTATGGAAAAAATACTATAGAAGTCAATGGCTACTGTCAGCTGGTTACCAACATTCTTCAAAATATCTTCTTTTGTGTTCAACAGAAGAACAAAATTCATACAGGTTAGGAACAAATGAGCAAATGAAGACAATTTTAATTTTTTGGTGAACTATCCCTTTAACTTGCGTTCTTTCAGCTTATAATAATTGAAGTGTGCATGTGTGATATGTAACAGGAAAGCGTCCTTACTGCGGATTTAAGTGCATCCAACCAGAGCGAGAGTTTGTAAGGGAAAAGGAAATGTACTGTACACACTGACTCTTTCTTGACCCAAGAAATTATAAAAATCTTGAGTAGCCGAAGGAGAATTGAAAAAAATTGTAGACAAACGCGCAAACATGAGAAGAGAATATGAGTTTGTACATTTCCTGCTAACATTTTGGACTACTCTGGGGTTTTTAATGCATTATTTATCACAACTCACATAATAAATAGAATACTCTGAGTAGAATGCATGGATGCTTCTGTTTTAATGCAACCAAATGGAAAATAACCTGATTAAAAAAATAATAATAATAAATACATATATATATACAGGTGCATCTCAATAAATTAGAATGTTGTGGAAAAGTTCATTTCAGTAATTCAACTCAAATTGTGAAACTCGTGTACTAAATAAATTCAATGCACACAGACTGAAGTAGTTTAAGTCTTTGGTTCTTTTAATTGTGATGATTTTGGCTCACATTTAACAAAAACCCACCAATTCACTATCTCAACAAATTAGAATATGGTGACATGCCAATCAGCTAATCAACTCAAAACACCTGCAAAGGTTTCCTGAGCCTTCAAAATGGTCTCTCAGTTTGGTTCACTAGGCTACACAATCATGGGGAAGACTGCTGATCTGACAGTTGTCCAGAAGACAATCATTGACACCCTTCACAAGGAGGGTAAGCCACAAACATTCATTGCCAAAGAAGCTGGCTGTTCACAGAGTGCTGTATCCAAGCATGTTAACAGAAAGTTGAGTGGAAGGAAAAAGTGTGGAAGAAAAAGATGCACAACCAACCGAGAGAACCACAGCCTTATGAGGATTGTCAAGCAAAATCGATTCAAGAATTTGAGTGAACTTCACAAGGAATGGACTGAGGCTGGGGTCAAGGCATCAAGAGCCACCACACACAGACGTGTCAAGGAATTTGGCTACAGTTGTCGTATTCCCCTTGTTAAGCCACTCCTGAACCACAGACAACATCAGAGGCATCTTACCTGGGCTAAGGAGATATATATATATACACACTGTATATATTCATTTTCTTGAAAACTGCTAAGACTGGTTGTCAAACTGGTATTTAACTGGTAGCTATCAGCATGTTGGCATACTCACTGTCTTTATGAGCAAATCATTAAATCACTCAATTATTAAATATACAGATTCATTCAGAAACTACTGTGTTTTGCTCTCAGATGTGCAACGGTTCATTCTGCTTTGCCTTTCTTTGAAAATATAGACAAAGAAACTGGCTATATTGTATTTAAAATGTAAGTTACTCAATTATTTAAATCTAATTGGTCTGCACGTCGCCACATGAACTAATTTTGGATATTTCCCAATGATACAACTCAAACCACTGGTTAAAACAGGATGGGATTAGAAATTAGAAAGATCAACAGTGTTTTCAGGGAAATACACCTACAAAATAACTTGCTCGTCATGTTCTTCTTATAGCTAATAGTTGCTTATAGTTGAAAGTTCTTCAAAAATATCATTCATCATCATCATTCATCGTTTTTAAATGTTAAATGTATTGGTCCTTTTTCAAATATTTATTTTTGAAAAGTCAACATAAAATGGCATTTGCAACCCATGCAACTTCCATAAAGGCCCATTCACACCAAGGATAATAAATATAATGATATATTTAAAAAAAAAATGGTTCTAATTCCATATGACAATAGGAAAGTACTGACGGTAACAGCAGAAAGCAACTATATTGTTGGAATTAATTTCAAGAACAATTTTTATTGCTAATAAACAATAAAAACACTGACAGCTAATCAGAATCCACCTGACTTTAAAGAGCTCAAGGATTTAAAGCAACAGACGACAAAACTGCAGTGTTTGCAAACAGAGTGTTATCTTGCATTGGTGTGGACGCTAATATAACTATTATCATAGTTATCGTTTTTGATATAAACAAGCCTTAAGGGATATAATTCTATGTGAAACAGGATAGTATTTTATCCAATGATAATTTATGGATGTAAAAGGTGTTCTTTATATGACAGGTGGTTGGAAAATAAGAGCCAGTAATTACACTTTGAGGAAAAACTATTATTTGAAAAGACAAATATCTTTTCTTTAGAATAACATGCACCAATGAACCGTTCACTATAATTTCAGGTATATGTACATGGGGTAAATTTGGGTTCCATGTTGACTGTAAGGTCATGTCATCTGTTTTTAATCAGCACACTCTTCAAGCAGTACTCGCTAGTACATGAGACCCACCTTAATGGAGTGCGTTTAGCTGATCAGCCCAATGAGTTTGGTACACAACTGCCTGTGGGCTTCCCTGGGGCCTTCGACTGTCGACTTAATTTAGCCTGTTCCATTTCCCACGCTGGGAGAAATACACAGTCTCTGGCCAATTGAAGCGGAATGGAACCACAAAAAAACCCACCTTCAGGAGGCTGATTTACCTGGGGCCGTTTCCACGGCAACGCACCCCAGGGAGGTCTTGGCGACAAGAGCGAGTATACCCGAGCCCCCACCCCAACTCGATTTTATTCAAGAAAAAAGACGGCATTTCATGCAACATATACATGAGATGGTGTTTTTCTAGCATGCAGGGGAGGCGTGGAGACATACCCTGGATTGTTTTTCCATGCCGATGCACATCCGCTAACCTTTTCAGCAAAGATAGTTCATCTCTGTCACTCGTCTCCACTACAATCGCACACAAGCATCCTGCAAAGGCCGGGCAGAGGCCTGAGAGAGAAAACACACAGTAATTGCTGTCACACAGTGGCTAGATGTGTTAGCCTGCAGTCCTACACATGTATAACCGCCTCAAAGACTTGTGTTTAAAATGGCAAAGGCGGGACGGGTGCAGCCTGTGTCTCGTTTTGTTTTCGTTTTACCTGCTGAGCTGCGGCTTAATGAGAGTGTGTTAATTAAAGGAAGTCTTCATTAGAATTGCTTTTATGTTTTGGAAGCGAAACTTAGTAGTGCTGCCCGCTTGTCAACAAGCAGAAGTTCATCTACAAATATTGTAGTCGTTTAGGCTTAGAAAGAGCAATAGCCTGTGTGCGTCAAAGGATTCGGGAGGATAATAGCTTCGTGACAAGGCAGGCTGTGAGTATGTGCGTCCCATCTGTATGTCTAGCTCCCCACCTGCCCTGTCCTTCTGTCCATCTGTGCAAATGCTCTCACACAATCCCATGCTGCCAGAGACAACATACAATCAGGGCCGGATTAACAATAGGGCTAGGTGGTGCTGAAGCCCCAGGGCCCGAGCAACGAGAGGGCCCGTGATTGGCTGTGGAGTAGATTGACTGGAGCGCCAATCGCCAAAGCCCCACCACGCCCCCACTTTTAGCGCTATTATTTAGTGGAGCTTTGCCGTAAATTCCATATATTACCATTAGATATTGAAACGTCACGTTTGAATTTGGTTTACCAATCAAATGCATTTATTCTGTATTTGACTTTTGAACGAACTGTACGTGTATCTATCAGGTGATCGCTGAGCCTGATGTCCGCATTCACCTCCACTCTTCACTTCGTTCTGGCATAATCTGGAAATGGTCACGCAAAGAACAATCTTCGATAAGTAAAAATGTCAGCTATTCTAAAAAAAATGTGAGAGAGGGGCTCAAAAAAAAAAGAAAAACGTAAAAGACAAACAGCAGAAAAACATAGTCAGTAAAATCCCCAGCTATCAGGTTATTTTACTAAATATGATGATGGAGTAGAAGTTGTGAAACAGCAAGTGGACCAGGCACATGGAGCAGATCAAATCAGCGCCATCGTCCACACAGATTTTAGGTTAGTTTGATTATTAACTTGATGGATGTCTTTGGCTTTTTGTGTTTGAACAAACTCTATATATTCGCTTAAGGGTTGGGAAATAACCCGGTAGAAAAAATGTCAATCGTTTTGCTTGTAAGCTTAAACGCATTTTAAGCATTGGGGTTTAAAAACAAATGGTTTTAAACTATTCATGGACATTAAGCAGCAGGGCAGAATTCTTGTTGGTAAATACGCGCGTTAAGACGGTTTCAGCCTGATACGCGCGGCGCACACCTGCTCGTACAACGCCTGACTAAACTCGAGTTATTTTTCGCACCTTGTGCTTAAACGTTCAAATACACATAGTTATGTGTCAAAATGCCAGTCTTTGCGAGTATCCTCGTCAACACAGTAAGTTGTGTCTTACATGAACGTTAATAGTTAAAGATAAAGCATGTGTAGTAGAAGGCTACATGAGATCCTGGCATTATATGATCTTCACCCAAAAATGAAAATACTGTCATCATTTACTCACCCCTCACGTTGTTCTAAACCTGTATGAATTTCTTTGTTCTCCTCAACAAAATAGAAGATATTTTGAAGAATGTTCATAACCAGAAAGTTTCTGGTCCCCATTGACTCCAATAGTGTTTTTTTTTTGGCATTCAGTCTATTTGTACATTTACGTTATACAATATAATATTTCTTATTCATTTTTTTTTTGTTTTTCAAGTAGGTTGATTTCGTATGTATCTTTGTGCTATTATAATTTGTTGACGCTCTAACTAGCCCTTTCTATTCTATTTTAATTATACTTTATATTTATCTTTTTTATTTAAAAAACAAACACTAGCTTTCTATTTTTTCTATTCTATCTACTTTTTTTTTGTGGTTTGTGTGGTGTGGGTGCTGTGTGTACATTAATGAGGAAAAAAAATTAACTTAAATGATTTTAGCAAATGGCTGCAATATAACAAAGAGTGAAAAATTTAAGGGGGTCTGAATACTTTCCGTACCCACTGTATATTGATCTCTATCCTAAATTTAGGTTACTTCAAAATTGAAAATTGGAAATTTTCTTGCCCTTGAAATATATTTTAAAATAGTTTGGTATATGGAGGTTGAAACTAAATATGTTTTCAATAAAATACATAATATATTTAATTGAGCTTCACTAAATATTTAGTATATATTTAAAATGCATTTTGGGTAGAAAAAATATATTTTTTTGCATTGGAAATGCTCCAAATAATATAATAAAGTCTTTAAAAGGACTTCAACAAAGTCTCTGAATGCTTAAACAAATCATTGATTCCATGAATTGATAATGGATGAAAATGATTGAAAGAACACCCATCCCTTAGTACACCTTCAATACACCCTGCATCTCTGAAAAATGTATGCATTCTTAGTCATAAATGTATAAATCTGTAAAGTTTTCCGTAACCTCACTCTCACCCAAACATTGAGAATATATAGACTTGCTGTCATCTTCGGGAAAGCACTTGTGATTGACAACCCACCCTATTACCAAACACTGCCTGCAGGAAGTGTCAGTCTTTAAGTTATACTCCCTGTTAGCAGGCAGGTCTCTGAGAGCACTAACAAAAACAGCGTTCTTGAATAATGGCATTCTGTGACTGGAGCATGCTCTGAATAATAGAGCATTTTATGAGAAAATATAATGTGGCAATTAAATAACTGTTCTGCATTCCTAAGTTTTGGAGTCTTTAATATGGGGTCGTTGGCCAGTGCCTTCCTATTCATTCAGTCTTGCACTGAAGTGAACAAGTGGAATGTCTGATTTTCTCTTAAGTTGACTGAGTCATGCATAATGAGTCAAGGCTTCAAATGTGTGTGTTTGGATTGGAACACTAGTGTACTTTATATACTGCCTACTTGTTTTGAATGTGAAGTGGTTATGATTCAGCTGGTTAATATGGACCAGTTACCCCCTGCATTTCACATGGTGGAAAGCCCTCCAAAACAGTGGAAAATGGTGACATCTAATATACTGTATTTCAAACCCACAAGGCTTTGGTTAATCTTTAAAACACAATTTAGGATATTTTTTAAATGAAACTTTCTGAGGGTTTCTGTCCCTCCATTGAAAGTCAAGGTAACCAAAACTTAGAAGATCCATTCATATGAATCAAGTGGTTTAATCCAAGTCTTGTGAATAGATACAATCTCTTTATATGATGAACGGATTTAACTTTGGCTTTAAGTGTAGTGTGAAAGTAGCTCAGTTGTGATTTTTTTCATTCATTTGCATGCAGCTGATCGATCTGAATAATTATGCACTAAACTGTTTCCTCATTTCTGATTCACTTTAGTGAAACAGTTTGTTCAGACTGTTTTTGTAAGCAGTTCACTTTTTGTGGACCATTACGTGAATTGTCTGAACAAACTGATTTATTAAATCATTATAGTCTGTAGTGAATTGGTTTATTCCGACGGTTCATGTAAATCAAGTGGTTATTTTTTGGTAAACCATTTACATGAACCATCATCTAACTGATTGACTAAGATAAATCAGAATTAAACAATTCACTGAAGTGAATCATTAAAGTCTGATTCATTTTAGTGTATCTGTTTGTTCTTACGGTTCATGTAAATCAAGTGGTTTACTTTTTTGAGTTATTTATAAACCATCTGAATGAAACGATTCACTAAAATGAATCTGACCATAATGATTCGCCATTAGGATGGTTAATTTAAGTGGTTGACAAAACAGCTTGATTTGCATGAACAGTCTAAAAGAACCAATACTCTAAAATGATTAATTGATTCATTCATTGATTCATCTAAACCTACCATATGCCCATGGTAGCTTGGAAATCACATCATGAGCATCCCAAACTTTGGCAAACTTTTTTTTTTTTTTTGACACCAAATCTCAAACCCTCAAGTTAAGTTTTACACTTTCCAATCTTGTTTTAAGCTACTGTCTTAAGGCTTAAGTAGAGTGGTTGGCTGAATATGTGAGTGTGTTTAAGGCAGAGACAGACAAAGAGAGTGGGAGGGGGGGATGGAGAAGCCACTAGTGAATGTGCAATAGTAACCAGTGGAACTTAATCCAAATCACAGCTTCTCAGCAGTAGACTCCTTCTTTCTTTTCTCGTTTTTGTGATTATTTGACTGTCCACGGGAGTCATCGGAGCAGAGAAATTGCCTGTTATCTGGGGGGTCGATTTCTCATGCGCCCTTAAATTGCTTTGTATTGACACTCTGTCATCTTGTGGATCTTGCCGTTAGCCCCAACAATCTCCCCTCAGGTTTGTGTTGCACCCCTCCTTTAGACACAAAGTACGGTGTGTGTGTGTGTGGTTGTGTGTGAGTGAGCGAGTAACTAATGCATGTCTAATAGGCTTTAACATGATTGTGTATCGTTTGTAGGGGTGCTTGGCCTGCTGTGAGGAGGTTCATGAGCCATTGTCCAACAAGAAGTTGGTATGGCGTTCTAAAATCCATATGAGCTGTTTGGTGTACTTTGGTGTCCATTTTTTATTTTTTTTTTCGATTGTGAAAACTATCATGTTACCTAAAATTACCTTGCATGAAAAGTAGGTAGTTGTAAATATCAAATTTATTTATCATTCTCATGCAATTTGCTGAATTTTTACACTTGACATGAAAATAGCTAGTTGTAAACGTCAAATGTATGTATCTTTCTCATTCAATTTGCTCAATTTTTACACATGGTTGGGCTAAGACTATTTGTTAAGCTCAACTACTCTCTATCCTGTATAAACTACCATTCAAAAGTTTTTTTTCATGGCTTTGAAAAAAAATAAAAAATCCTGTGATGGCAAAACTGAATTTTCAGTAGCCATTACTCCAATCTTTAGTGTCATATGATCTTTATTGTTAGTATTGGAAACAGTTGTATATGATAAATTTTTTAGGATTCCTTGATAAATAAAATGCTCAGAAGAACAACGTTTGTTTGCTGTATAACTCTCTCTCTCTCTCTCTATATATATATATATTTTTAATATATATTTAAATAATGTTTTGTGCAAGAAGATCACACTAAAAATCAATGTTAAATGTCAAAAATTTTGGACCTCATATGAAATAGAATAAATAAAATAAATTTAAAACAGAATATTTTTTTATTTATTACTTACTTACAGTCCCTATTTTGTATCCTACTACAGGAAAGTGCTATAAAGAGTTTTCTTGTCTCACTACATGCAGATACATTTTACTTTAACATTTTTCATGAAGTTTGTGTGTACAGTCATTTCATTCAGTTCAGTCACAGTGGCATGTTTGGCTTGTTAATGTTAAAAGGCCTCTTTTGTGCTCAAATACATCACAAAGTGACAAACCTTGCGAAGATGTAAGGACAGAAATGAATAATCGTGCTCGCATTGTTTGCTTTTGATTGAAGGGGGTCTGAATACTTTCCGTACCCACTGTATGTGGTTGATAAGGTGTTATGGCTGATTTTAGGTGGTTACATACTCTCCCAATTTAAAAAGTCTCTACACACTCTCAGAAAATAGGTACAAAATCTGTCACTGGGCGGTACCCTATCAAAAGGTACCATTTAGATACTAATATGTAGCTTTAAGTTAAATAATGTTTTGTGCAAGAAGATCACACTAAAAATCAATGTTAAATGTCAAAAATTTTGGACCTCATATGAAATAGAATAAATAAAATAAATTTAAAACAGAATATTTTTTTATTTATTACTTACTTACAGTCCCTATTTTGTATCCTACTACAGGAAAGTGCTATAAAGAGTTTTCTTGTCTCACTACATGCAGATACATTTTACTTTAACATTTTTCATGAAGTTTGTGTGTACAGTCATTTCATTCAGTTCAGTCACAGTGGCATGTTTGGCTTGTTAATGTTAAAAGGCCTCTTTTGTGCTCAAATACATCACAAAGTGACAAACCTTGCGAAGATGTAAGGACAGAAATGAATAATCGTGCTCGCATTGTCTGCTTTTGAACATCTTTGTTTCATCACTTGCTCATGACTAGATTATAGGCTGGTGAAAGAACAGTTTTGCTTAT